TTGCTGTTTGCCAAGATTCACGCTGACCCGGCTAGGTGGGGTTCCAGCTCTGGACAAATTATGTACAAAATCTGTACTTGAAATCATAAAATTATTTATAAAATATTTAGATTTCGGCATTAAAACCCCCGTAGATGTTGATATGCCACCAAACAAAATTATCCAACTGAACAATCAACATGAAATAACTCTTTCATGACATTAATCTATATAATACCTTCAGTCAGTTATGTGCCATGCATGATACATGCGTAGACGATCATGTATCTTTTGATACATGACTGAAGAAGCAGATTTTTTCCCGCAGTAGGTTGCAATTTCTTTCTGCGGTAGACTAGTTGCTATCTAAGGCTATAGAATCCGGTCTGTCCTGCTATTTACCCATAGCTGGGGAGAGAAGAAGAGGATCCATACCTTTCCCAAGAGTATTAGCACGTAAGTGAATATGATGGATTCGACTGCAATTCGAACTCGGCTCTCCGATTCCGCAATACGAGCCGCTATCTATTTCTCCACATACAATTTCTTAAAGAAATCAAACGGTATATAAAATATAACAAAACTACAGCATAAAAGAAACATATCTCTATCTCCTAGTAATTATGTGTCACAAACATATATATGCACAAAAGCTGAGTATCATCTACCATGAATTCAACTGTGAAAGCAGAATAACATATATCATATTTTTATTACTTCAAAGCTCCCAAGAAAATTAAATTTCGGGATTAAATGAGACTTAAATGTGTTTATCTGCTGTTAAACAAACAAAACAGTCAATCAAATGAATCGTGATTAAGAATTTTTTCTCGTCAGAATTTTTCTTGTACGTTTATAAATCTACCATTCGTCTGTGCATTGAATATTGCTGTCAAATCTGATCTGGTGCTCCGGCTATACCACTCGATATTCTAGACGAAATCCAAAGAAGGGTCTGTAATTTTATCGGTCCTGATCTAGCATCTCGACATCAGCCACTTTCCTATCGTCGTAACATGGCTTCCCTCTATAAATATTTTCATGTCAGTCGTTCTAATGAGCACTCGTTGGTACCTCTACCGTATGAATTTAAACCAACTGCTAGATTGGTAACTACGTCTTGTCGTTTTACTGTTGAAATAGAAAGATCTTACCGTTAAGTTCTATTCCAAAAGTTTCTTTTCTCACACTTCTTGCTTGTGGAATTCCTTTCCGTTTACTTGCTTCCCTGTCACCTACGATCTTCAGAAATTTAAATGCAACGTCAATCGCCATCTTCTGTCTTCATGAATCTCATTTCTTTATTACTCTTTCTCCACACTTAACTCTTCTCATTCTCTTCCACTCCCAAGAAACCTATTGAGTCTTAGTGGCATTATCTCCTTGCGTGGGGGGGGGGAATGATAAAATAATAATGTGTAACAAAGTATTGAATGAAATTATAAATAGATACGATTTGCCTGTTATCTATTCTAGGATATTCATACATTTCATAATTCATTCTTCTTAAAGGTCACGTTACCAAATTAGGCTGAACAAAAGGGTCAGTGACAGAAGAAAATTTGAAAACCGCCGAAAAACATTACAGAAACAATAATTTTTTTTAAAAATTATTTTTATTATTAGTATTTCTTTCATCTTGATTTGAATTGTTTTTATCCCAACTTCTATACAGTCATTCCATGATCGTCAGAAAGCAACGTGGATCGAAAACAGTGCTTTTTGGTGGAAATCAATCTCCAACAAATCAATAGTTCAATAATCTACAACAAGTCAATAGTTCAACAAGTCAATATTATCACTGATTTTAATTAGACTTTAATCTACGTGGGTAGACTGTTCTCGTGAGTTCAATCCCTTGATCGGGCAGTGTGTACTTGGACTCAGTGGAAAACAGACGAGCAATAACTGAATTATAAATAAATAAATAAAAACAAGACGATATCCCTAGGACAGTGGAACGAGAACAACCTACCCCATAACATAAATAAAGAGTTTAGTTCAGAATTCCCTGTAGATTACCCAGATCAATATAACCCTGAGGAAGGTGCACAACGGCCGAAATATTGTGACCCAACAGAGGACAATAGTCCGAAAATAAATAGCGTAAATAATGGGAAGAACATGTTGCGACTATTAAGAAGTTGGTGTCTGACAAATGAAAGAATACAAGGATGAATATGGTTGGGCTATATATTCACTGGAAGATATGTCGATATTTCAGAAAATACTGATTTTTTTTTTTTTTTTGACAATGAGGTTCACCTTTTACGAGAGCAACTCAAGATAGAGAGCTACGTTTGGAGGCCATTTGTTTGTACAGGAGTAGACGATACCGTTAACCCAAGCCTTCAACATGCCAAGATTATGGAGATCGGGGAAACATCCTCTTGGGAGTCGGTTCCACGGGTCAGTGGTTCGCGGGAAGAAGCTACTCGAGCGGAACTTATTACTCACCAATGGAATACGGAGGCAATGTGGGTTGTTTGCTACTATGTAGCATGATATGTTCTTGCTGTGAAGGATGGGGCCGGGAAATGAAGTTCGTCCGAGCACTTTCCGTCGAAGTAGCGGTAGATAAGTGAAAGGATTGCCACACCCCGCCTGTGGGAGAAAGGGTGGAGAATAGTTTGTTACCCACAAGGGCTTGGAGACGTTTTTAAACTCTATCAAGGTTTGAGAGTGAGGTCTGGGCATCTCCTTTCCAAATATGACAACAGTACTCCATTTTTGCCCTGATCTGGCTCTTGTAAAGGTAGACGATATCAAGAGGTACTGACTCCTGAGAGAATGTTTCCCCGATCGCTACAATCTTAGCATGTTCAAGTCTACGTTTTCTCCCCTCCTCCTATCCGTATAAACTGTCTCTTAACGTAGCCCTCTACTACGAGTGCCCCCCCCTAATATACCATGGTTTCAAGGTTTTTGGCACCGCAAATATTCTGCGAAGGGTGCTCACTGAGTACGTATGATTTGATGGGAACACCCATAATGCAAGATATCCGGTTGAAAATGAAAACTGTGCAAAGAAGAAAATAATAATAATAATAATAATAATCACCCAGGCATCGTTATCAGAGACCGCAAACAAAAAAAGTGCCTCCTTATTGATAGAGCAGTCTCCGCTGACTGCAATGTATCTTTGAAGATATTCAAAAAGATATCAAAATACAGGGACCTTGAAATCGAATTCTCAAAAACATGGCACATGAAAACATCAAAAATTCCTGTTGTAGTTGGAGCCCTCGGATTGTTTGGAAAAGATTCCAATAGACCCGTTGAAGGGATTCCTGACAGCCCATGCCTTTAAAGAAATACAAAATATTGTTTTCACGAGTACAGCCCACACCTTAGAAAGGGTTTTATCTATTTAAAATATGTGTTTTTGTTTTGTTTTGTTTTGTTTTTGGCTTTTTTTTAATTGCTCAATCGAAAATGTCATGACGCCATTTCTGACCTTAGGAAAGTAATGAGTACACACCAGAAACCAAAGGAAATAATAACAATAATAATAATAATAATAATAATAATAATGTCATGATGCCATTTCTGACCTTAGGTCTCTGCTTCAGACCCTGAAGGAAATGAGTACACACCAGAAATCAAAGGAAATAATATTAATAATAATAATAATAATATGGAAGCTGAGACAGAAGGCCTAATTATTGCATCTCAGGACCAAATCCTTGCAACCAGATCCTATCACTGTCACATAATCAAGGATGGAACTTAACCGAAATGCAGAATCTGCGGAAATTATGTTGAAACTGTCAACCATATAATTTCAGGATGTCCGGAACTAGCAAAAAATTAAATTAAATTAAATAATAAATAAATAAATAAATAAATATACCCAGAGACATAACAAGGTCGTGACATATGTGCACTGGAATATATGCAAGAAGCATAAAATCGAAACCACTGAGAGATGGTATGAGCACCAACCAGACACAGTTACCCAAAATAACGATGTAACTATCCTCTGGGACATGCCAAATTCAAACTGACAGGGAAAATAAAAGCCAGCAGACCTGATATTATCATAAAAGACAAGAAATTCAGGAAGTTATTCGTATTGACATAGCAGTAACATCTGAAACAACCCCATGAAAATTATCGAGAATTTGTGCAAATACAAGGACCTGGAGGTCGGTATTAACAGGATATGGGAAATGAAGACTGTACCAGTAGTAATCCGTGCTCTGGATCTCGTGAGAAAAGGAATGGATAATTTTACAGGAAACTGCACGTATCCCTCCGTAAAACCCTCTCCATCTAAAACGAAACGTCCCAAATATATACCTAGCAGAGTTAACTCTCTTACAGTGCCCTTTTTATTCATAGACTCCAGAGGGGATTTCGTAATGAGGCACTTACTGTCTAGCAAGATGATACCAAACGCAATAATAATTTATTATTATTATTATTATTATTAAACTAGACCAGAACAAAATCTTGTCGCGCTCGCCTTAAAGGCGTCATAACAAGTCGAACGTCATTCAAACGGGCACGTGACTCCAACTGTAAATATGGGTATCTGTGTTTATATCCCGTTCTATGAACCAAATGACCCTAGCCCACACGCAAAAACTCCGTCACCCCCCACACTGCTGAGCTTCACTTATCCACTTCTACCCCCCCCTCCATGGCCCCACTCCCCGATCCCCGCTCCAAGTTGGCCGATGCCGTTGGGTTATTTTCTGCTATCAGCGGATATCTCTTTGCACTGATCTAAAAGGCGGATAACAAATCCAAATTAGATTTGGGGAGAGCGATCGATATGAAGAGATTACAGAACTTGGCTGAGTAAAGTCAGTCGTCGATGGTTGATGGAAGTGGTTCGGGTTGGGAGTGGTGAGACCGGTGCTAGGGGATGAGTAAAACAGAAAGAAAGAATGATGTATTTATATGGGTATCCGTATGTGTGTGTGTGTGTGTGTGTGTGTGTGTGTGTGTGTGTGTGTGTGTGTGTGTGCGCGCGCGCAAGTGTTTGTGAAAGCGACAGACAAGAGACGTATCTATTAATAGGAAAAGAATGCGTGGTGGGGTTGTAATCGTGGAAGACCAGAAAAGGAAGAGCGAGGAGGAAATAGAGAAACACGTAAAGAAGTAAGTAGAAAGCGAGAGGACAATAGAAAGAGAGAGAGAGAGAGAGATAGAGAGAAAGAAAGAGAGAGAGAGAGAAAAGAAAGAATGGCATAAAGAAAGAAAGAGAAATAAAAAGAACGAGAGAGAATTAAGAAACCACTAGAAAGAGAAAGACTAATATAGAGAGAAAGACAACGAAACAAACAGAAAAAGAGTGAAAAATAGAGGGAGAGAAATAGAGAGGCACATAAAGAAACAAACATAAAGAAAGAGAGAGGGTGAGAGTAAAGAGAGGGAGAAGTAGAGAATGACATAAAGAAACAAACAAAAGAGTGGGAATAATAGGGAATATAGTAGAGAAAATACAGGTAGAAAGAGAAAAACAGAAAGAAAGAAAGAAAGAAAGAAAGAAAGAAAGAAGGAAAGAAAAATAGAAAAAGGTGATATATATATATATATATATATAGAGAGAGAGAGAGAGAAAGGGAGAGAGAGGGAGAGAGAGAGAGGGAAAGAGGGGGGGATAAAGAAATCGAGAATGTTAATGAAACAGACAGAAAGAATAGTAATAGAGAGGGAGGGAAGGTGAGAGAAAGAAATGGAGAAATACAAAGAGAAAGAATAATAGAGTAAAACGAAAAGGCATAAAGAACAAATAGCAAGCGACAGAGAGAGTGATAGAGGGATTGACAGAAAAATGAAGAGAGTCAGAAAGAAACAAAAAGTGTGAGAGAGAGAGAAAGTGAGAGAGAAAGCGAAAAAGATAATAAAGAAATAATAAACGGAATTTCTGATGTTATATATGTGCTGATGAAGTGGGCACATTTGCATAAATGTGTAAACGAGAGAGAAACTGTCTCTCCAATAACAAAACCACTTCCCAGGCAATAATAACAGACAAAAAGCTGTTTCACTCGTTTTCAACCTTGACGCAGGCCAGTCAAAATGTGCAACTATCTGAAAGAAATACAAGCCTGAGATAGTTCAATTTGTCTTCTTTATTTGATTGTGCATCCTACAGAATGTGTTCAAAAAAATAGGCTAACGCAAGCAATATATATATATATATATATATATATATATATATATATATATATATATATATATATATATATATATATATATATATATATATATATAAAATGACAATTATATAAAATATATATATATTATATATATATATATATATAAAAATGACAATTGAAAAAATCTTAGATTTTGCCGACGCGTTTCGTCTTCCGACTTTTTTCAAGGCAAAATGAAATCGAAATGTTTTTGTTGTTATAGTTACATTAAAACTCCAAATTTAAAAAGATAGACGCTTCTGTCTAAGCCTTTTTTCTGGTATCTAAGATTTTTCCAATTGTCATTTTATACCAATCTGTCTTGTCCACAGAATTGATCTGGAAATTTAACTATATATATATATATATATATATATATATATATATATATATATATATATATATATATATATATATATATTATATATATAGATTCCAAATCTACTTGGTAAGTGGTGAACATAAAGTGCATCTAACTTTTTCTCTTATGTGCCGTGTCCCTTCTGGGGGTAGGAGATCATGGCTCTCCACAATTTCCTCCCCTTTGTAGCTCTTATTAAATTTGTCTTTTTGTCATCTCTCCTAAATTCGCTACGTCTTCCATCTACTCAAGGTCGCCAGGTAGTTTAGGCATTGTTTAACTCTTTCCCTCTTGCCTTCAATCTATCCTGTGAGTATCGAATTTTCCTAGCCCTATTTCCTAATTATGTGCCCTAGATATTTCAATTGCCACTTTAACTATAGTGTCCATTTTGTTCCTATTTTCTGTAAAACTTCGTCGTTGCTCATATGTTCAATTCATGGTATTCTCAGCATCCTTCTATAGAACCACATTTCTGTTGCTTCTAGTCTCTTCTTCATCTGTGAGGAGATAGTCCGGTATTTACTGTCATATAGGAGGGCATATTACAATTTACTTAATTTGGGTACAGGATCTCAATAATGAGTATCCCCCATGAGGATCGATTTCTCTAAAGTCATGGTAATCTAGTAACATTTCTTATCACCAATCTACAGAAGAGGCACATAACCATATTATCCGTTTTGAAGGAAACGCTGGCACTACTTAAATTGATTGGTCATCTCGTAAAAAAATAGGACAGACAATTGGTTTTAAATCATTTTTATAGATTAGCATTTATTAGGGCACATAGTGAGGAGAGATGGCTCGAGAAATGTGATACTCACAAGACAAATTGAAGGTTAGTTGAACAGAGGAAAACAACGCATAACTTACCTGACGAGTTTGTGTAAATGGATGTTAGAACAGAGTTTAAGAGAGATAAAAAAAAATCAAAGAAATATTAATAGCTACAAAGGGCAGGAGGTTGTAGAGAGCCATCATCACCGACGTCTTGAAGAGACATGGCACATAGATCTTCCTCACGCTATGATATTTGGCAGATTCGAAAAATATTGAATTTTTAATATGAACAGGAAAGTTCAGAGTATGAATACGATACGAGAGAGATCGTCGACATCTTAAAGAGTTATTTGTACTTTGTTTTTATTTACAAATGTCAAGTTTGAAATTCTGCTTACATCATTGATAACTAGATATTATTTACGGTGAAATTGGGCAAAGAACAGTATCAGGACATTGTGCTTAAAGCATTTGCGAATGCAAAACAAGAACATCAGAAAATTTTAAGGTAAACTTAAAAGAAAGGCCGAACACAAAGCCGAGTTGCAAATACTTTGTTACCGTAATTCCCCATGTATAATATGCCTTCATCCATAATATGCACACTTAAAATTGTGCTAAAAGTCGGCGATAGCGACCCCATAATGATGTCACGTGGGCGATGTTGTGAAAACGTATTCCTAAAATACGACGACGTGAACATATTTAAACGAAACGCTGATCTTGTAAAAGATTTCAGTTATCTGTTTGGATTGGTATTGCTTTTATGTCCATCGTCTTTTTCATGTTGAATTGTATGTGGTCTATGTTAATTATGTTTTATGAATATGTCCTGAAGATGGTCTATTCGACCGAAACGTCCGACGTTGACATTAAACATTAAAACTGCATAATCGCATATTAAGATTTTTGTTTGTTTTTTCAGTATATTTTTCTTCATACTGTCGGATCTATATCCATATATTTGCTTACACACACACACACACACACACACATATATATATATATATATATATATATATATATATATATATATATATATATAATATATATATATATATATATATATATATATATATATATATATATATGGAGTGCGATGAATAAATTGTCGTCTAAATTACGCAAAAATGAAAATAACACGGACATTTCATTTTTAACAGATATATTTACCAAAATTACACAAAAATATCTTGCGACCACATTACCACTTACATCTGGCCACTTAACTTCCCAGAATGCAACCCCGTTGATTATTATGCGTGGAGTGCAGCTGAGTGAGAGACCAACAAAACTGCTTATAATTTAAGCTTTGGTGTTACAAGCAGTTTTGTTGGTCTTTAACCCAACTGCACCCCACGCATAATAATCAAGGGGGTTGCAGTCTGGGGAGTTAAGTGGCCAGATGTAAGGGGTAATGTGGCCGCAGAATTGTATGACAGCCATGAGTGGTTTCTCCTACTTGTGTGTTATGTCGCAGAGTCCTGTTGTCAGAGATAGGGTCTTCCAGCAGCCACCCCCTTGAGCCAAGGAAGCACTACCCCCTAAAGGCATTTGATATAGGCCTTAGTGATGAGCCTTAGGCCTTCAGCAACAGATTCGGGAGTTCTCTTCTCATAAGAACACTCTGTTTTATGCTAGATGAAATCGTCAGGCCGTTTGTAAAAAGGATTAGAAAGAAGTAAATGTATATTTTTTAAGGTTTTATTGAAATTCTATTTAACTTTCCACATGTCTTCCATCATTAGCAATACAAAGGTTAATACGATTTTTCAGTTCACGGAAAACATTTGCCAACTGATTTACAGTAATGCCTGAAATCACACTAGTTATTTTAGTCATACTTAAAACTAGGTACATTAAACTTTATAACATTTTTTACAGATTATTTCTATCGGAAATACAAATAAAGTTATAAATTTTTAAAAGTGCACCCGAACTTTATGGATATATATATGGGTGGGGGTGCGTGTGTGTGTGTGGGGGGGGGCAGGTTACTATTTGTTTCCGAGCCACCCACACGTCTGCTCGGACGGCTAGTCAATCTATATTAGAGATGTCTGTTCAATCCACCAAGCAAACGGATACTTTAACTATGCTGAACAAATCTTAGTTATGGTTTTTAGAAGGGAGCTCATAATCTGTCGAGATCACTACCTTGAACAAGGCAAAAACACTCACATCCTCAGTCATGATGACTTCAGCCTAGCACAATCAGCAGGATCAGACGATTCAGCAGAGTTCTTAACGACAGGAATATTTTTTTTTAAATGTTGTTGTTAGGAGTGATGATAAAACTCGATGTTTTTAGGGTTTTTTTTTTGTTAAATCGGATACGGTTGTTAGGTTCGACAATATCTGTTCCTCAATGTGATATTCTTAATGGCTACCAGGCTTTGTTTATAATTCAAGTGCATCTGGTTACAGTAAGTGTTATTTTATGATTCTGGTATGGAGTATTTGTTTAAAGTAATTTTATTTGTTCATCGACAAAATTGATAGCGTATCTGTTGATAATATATAGAGTTTGATAATATCTAATTCCTTTCGAAATATGTGGGATGTTGAGATTAGTAAAGATCTATCTATCTATCTATCTATCTATCTATCTATCTATCTATCTATCTATCTAGCTAGCTAGCTCTCTCTCTTTATATATATATATATATATATATATATATATATATATATATAATACTAATAACAGATTCGCTAAAATATTGTCGACTAGCAAATAAAATTAATCTAAATAAAATTAATCACCTACACCACATCACATCTACAAAAAAGAGTTATTGTAATAGAAACACCTGAATTATATATATATATATATATATATATATATATATATAATTATGATTATCTCATCTAATTATGATTATCTCAAATCCTCCTAATAATTTCTATCACTTGTATATCCTTGCTTGAACCGGCTTCTCTTAATAATTTCTATCATATACACAGACATGACAGAATTAAATAGACGCTCACAGAAACCGTTTATTTTATTAAACAAGTAATTTATGCAAATGAAGTAATTATAAATGGTCATAAATTTAATAACTAATACTTGGTTGACATCCCTTTTGCTTTTTTTAATGTAAGGACCCTTCTAGGCATTCTAGCGATGTGTTCACGAATATCATCTTGAGGGATTTCTTGCCATAATGACGCAATAATCCTAAAAGTTCGGGCTTAGAAGATGGCTTTCTGTTCTTTTTGTGGAGTTTTCGATCTAATATGCTCCAAAGGTGTTCAATAGGGTTAATATCCGGGGACTGACTTGGCCATGGAAGTTTATTGATTCCATTTTGTCTCAACCAGTGTTGCGTTGCTTGAGCAGTGTGACATGGAGCTCCATCTTCCATAAATAGGGAGTCAACTTTGCTCATTCTACTACTTGAGAATATTGGAAGGCGCCCTTTCTTTAATATAGAAACATATATGGTTGAATTAATGTTTCCTTCACACTCCACAAGCTCTGAGCGACCATCACTCCAAATTGCACCCCATACCATTACTGAAAGGCCCCCATGTTTCACCGTTGGCTGGAGTCTTTATAAATCAAACTCTTGACTACAGAGTCTCCATACCCATACTCTTCCACTGTCAGAAAA